GGACCTCCTCTATGGTCTCACGCACGAGTGCTTCAGTCAGAACTTTTGGCTAATGGGTTGCAACGTCCGATATCCGACCACTACCCCCATCATATTCAAGGCTCTCGCCATCGTTACAATAAATTTTTTAACTACTGCTTCTGAGCACATTTATTGCAAATCTAGGCCCAAAGCATCGTTAGTATCTTGAACTGTTCCCGCCACTTTCAGGTCTATTTAAAGCTAGAAAAAGAAAGTCATGCCAATTTGCTCATCGAGTATACCGCATTCAAAGCTTTGATAAAGCTACAAGAAAATACTTTAGACAAAGTTGAGCTAAGCTTAGATAGAGCTGGAAAAGCTCTTCAAAATGTTATCAACGTCAATTGCAGCTTTCTCAGATTTCAAGGGAAATAAAGCATCCAAAAGTGGAGTGTCAGAAAACGACAGAACTTTCTGAAACGCCTAATACATTTTGAGTGATAGCCTTTATATTCGAATACAACTGAATTATATTTTGTGGCACAAATAAGCAACTATAAGTTATAGCACCGCAAAATTGTTATACCCCTTCCCATCTGGTTGATTGGTCACATATCAGCGGAAATAAATCCTGCTGTAAAGCAAAGACGCATTGGAAATATCTACACGGAACTAAAAGGGCAGATATCATGGATTTTAGAAGAGGAACAGTTTTCTGGTCCGCCATAAAAGAGTTCTCATGGGATACGACTAATGTATGACGAAAAGTGCTGAATTGCTCGGAAATTTTCTATCGTTCATTTTAAATTTTGAATTTTTGCTGGTTTCGTGCGTCTTCCTGCATGATAACTGTACTTTGTTCCAACACATGGGGCTTACATATGTACATGAGAGCGAGAAAAAAACATTTCTTAGGGGCTTGCCAACCGATCGGTCCTTTGTCTGTGATTCGAATCTGGGGCGGAAACTACTCGCGCACTTGATGTTTCTCCTTCCCAGTCAAAGGCTTATCCCGCCTTTAACACGTTGACGACAACGCAGGACACATACGTCCCGCACTTTGCAGGCCATGACGGACAGCGCGGGACGTATGTGTCCTGCACATCACATTAATTTTTTTCCGCGCAAGCGCGATTCAAGTTAAGTACTTTTGAGTGTATTCTGAAGGAGGAACCTCAGCATACCTACAAATATATTGACCCACAGAATGGTCTCGTGTGCCTTAGTTAAGAGGAGAGTTTCTGATTCCTACAAAATCATCAGTTTAGTCAATTTTTCGTTTCCTTTTTCCCCTCATGAGGGTAAAGATTCAAAGGATAGTATGAGTAAATGCGGAACCTAAGGGATGACATGATATGCATCTTGATCGGTACAATCGAGGTAAAGTTCGTTTTAACTTCCATTGTAGCTGAGCCTCACAAATTTTGCTTTTTCATTTTCATTTTATTACTTTTTATCAAATATTTACTACTGTTCCTCTGCGTAGCTTCAATGCACTGAAAGTGCCGATCTTATCTCGTATCAATCACGTTTTTTCTTATTTACCACCCAAAACCCGCCTGAATTACCTGAGGCGGCCGCGCTCGCAAAATCGCGCCGGTCCCACACGCCCAAAAAAGCCAAAACGTGTGTTGTCGTCAACGTGTTAACGACGACTGGATTGACGCTTCAAATGTGTTGTCACCACAGTGCCCCGTATCTTGCGATATCGCCCTCAACTTACATTCATGCAACATCAATAATTCCTTGTGTTCGCGCGTAAGCTCCTATCCAAACATACATACTTACATGTAATCCATAAGAAATTTGTGGGAGATTACGAGCTTCCGGAATGGGTTGCAACCACCAAAAAATAACCAAATATTTTCGAAAAGCTAGTCAGCCAAAAAAAAACGGGGAAGTTTCCGTTATATTCAGCGAACGGAATGACTTACAAGTTGCAGTGAAATTCAAGCACATTATTGGCAATTATAAACCTCCCTTTGCAAGTAGGATAGCGATGAGGAAGTGACGGTATCATATACTACAAACTGAGGCGCTGCGATGGACCCCATTTATTTACCTACATATTTGTTGGTCCGGAAGACTGCGACTTCCGACGTTTTCGTTCTGCTTAGAAATCGTATGCATACCATTCCTAAGTGCAGCATGGTAATGACTTTATACATAGCGCTATTACAAATTCAATTTGATCGGAGCCCATTTTAAGCATTAATATTATTGTCTCGTTGGAATCAAGTATAGCTTTGTAGTGAAGGTAAATTCATTACATCTGAAGCACAGACCAGGCTAAGGGTTGAATTATTAAGGAGGGACAGGGTGAACGCTGACAATTAGCCCCTAATGATGGTGCTCTTTTGGGAACACGTAGACGAAAACGGAAGTGCGACTACGAGAATGCTCAAGGGACTCTGGTAATTAATCAGTTGTATCGAATTAAGCCTGCTTAACTACATAGTTGTACATATTTCAGCCAAAGCATGCACCGAAATACAATGTTCCGCAGAGTGATGCTTCCACCTACGAATTTCTCTATATGATTCTGTGGAGTAGGCGGAATTTTGTTTTTCAAAAATTGAAAATAAAAAATGTGTTTTCTTAAATTAAAAATTGTACTGTTATTCGAATCTAGTATTGATGCGCACCACATACGTACTTTGAATCATTTTCGGAAACTTATTTGCAAATTCTTAATAAATTTGTAGGTGGAAGTATCACTATGCAGGGTATGGCAATCTAGCGAGGCCTTTCGAAATTATGTGAACTTGGGCGTTTTCGCATTTTCCAAATGAAGTTCTTGGTCACATTTCGCGTAAACAGTGCATGATAAAAATTTGCCCTCACGCCATTAGCACAAATATTGACAAAACTGGCAAAATTGGCGATTTTGCTTCCTCGGAAAGGAATGCAGTACCATGGAAAAGGCTTGGTCTGTGATGTGATGACATACTGCCATGGAATCGTATCAGATTTCACGTATGGTTTCTAAATAGGCACCGTAGCCACATGGACGGAATGTCAAGCACTTTTTGAGGAATTCTTAAGGTGGGGTAGGCAGTGTGAAGCAGGCTGAATATTGGTCGAGAATTCCTCAACGGCATGTCGAGGATTTTTGCCTGGTCAGTTAAGTTCTTCCGCGCGGACATTCATACTCGAACGCATGAGCCGTCTGCGCTCTCCACGCGTACGTTCACTAACGGCACTACTCTAGCGCAGTATGGAGCTGTGGTCGAGGAATTCCTAGACCATTCTCAACCTGGTGGGAAGGGCTACACGTTTCACAACCTTCTATTATCTGTACACAATCCCGTTCCGCTCACTGCGCTCTGCACTGTGACATCACTCACTTGCCGCTGCTGGGTTAAAGGCAAGCCGCGGGATACAATATGTGTGTAAGAGCGTAATGAAGGTTGGTGGGGAGGTGTCTAGAAAAGAAAAAGGAAGCAAAAAGCCCGATTACGCCCCGGGTCAGGACGTCCTCTACTTTAGCCACATCCCACCTTGGGATTGAGAAGAGGGCGTGTCGGACAGTTTCACAAACCTAGCTTGATTTCTCTAGTGCAAAGACATTCACCTACAATTCAATCATCGCCGCAACTGCGCGAGCTTTTCTTGCAGCGTCGCGTGTTAGCCGACACCGGAATCTAGGGTTTGCGAACGAGGGTGTGGATTGCGGGTCGAGGGGTACCCGACAGGAGGCCCGTCGCGCGGCGAAAAGACAGAGATGCGGAGGGTCAGCAGACGAGCCGCAGCGCGTGCTATAGCGATTTAGCGTCATGTTAGGGATACTATGGTATGTCCCACATAGCACAATACGCTCTGCGACTCATTCGCCGAGCTGTTTGCTTTTCTGCCTTGTCGTCGCGCGACGGGCTTTCTGTCGTGTACCCGCGAGTCGAGCGAGCTTCAGCGCACTTTTAAGTGACGGAAAACGGGTGCAGCGAGAACGCTTGCTCATCTTTCCACCATGATTGGGGATAAACATGTGAACGTGATTAATCCCTCAGCATGCCTTGAAATGGTTTTCGGGAAAGTGGAGGTTTTGCAGGTAAATGCAGCAAATAGGAATCTAGATGTTTTTGGAGTGAAGTGATTGGAGTGAAAGAGGATCGTGTTCGAGCAACTTTGCAGCGTGCTCACTCTGAAGAAGAAATTATTGACAGCAACATTCCGTTCCATCTCATGTTTTTTATTCTTAATTTGTAGATCGAGGAAAAATACAGTCCCAGAAAAAATCAACAACATGAAACAACACGAGTCTACATATAAAGGATAAAGGATAAAGCATTTGCCGTTGATCAATCCCGTTTTGGGATGCGGCACGCATTTAACTTCCATTTGGACATTCGCAGTGGCATTTGAATGCGATGTGGCCTATACAATGACTTGCGGGGGCCAGCCGATGTTCAAGTCAGTGTTTTTTATCCTCCCAGACGAGTACCAATTAACGACCCGGAGGGATGAAGGCTTGGTTGGCCGGGCGACTCACGACCAGGATTTGATCCCGACGCTCCGTGTGAGCGCGCGAGTCTACATATGGACACTAATAATGTTACCCTTTCTCAAATCTGTACCAAGAGATAGCTACTTTGCCCTAATTTTTACTCGCGCAGGACGTGCATTTCCTCAGGATTTGTGCGAGGTAGGCGGCCGATGAGGATGGAGTCGAGGCCTATGTACTAATTCATTGTTCATTCGGAACACACTAAATTCACAACTATTGGCGCAAGTTTGTTCGCGGCTTGCTGAGGGGATTGTGTTTGGGGTGGCCAGTTGAAGCCTTCTATTCTTCAAACATCGCGGAGATTGAAATCTCAGAGAAACGGTATTTGATTGAAGGGAAATCAAGTATGCTAAAGACCTCACTTACCAATCTGTTCAAAGAAAGCAATTTTAGAGGTCGTACGGACACGAAATGATGTGCAAGGCAACTGAGCTTTCATTCTTCCAAAAGTTATAACTGTATAAGCAGGCATTCTGAGATTAGTCGTATCCCGGAGTATTACTATGTGGATGGGAACGCTCAAGAACTTGAAAGGTTACTGATTAGTCATACTGAAACTTACCGCGTTGTCTTTCCCGGCAACATCTCGCCTAGCGCAGCCATTGTTGTGATACCTCATTGTTCTCGTCGTTTGATCGATGTTGACACCATCAGGCAGCTTGAAAAGGCATTAGTTCAGAAACAGCGAAATCATGAGCAAACTTCTTCTTCGTATGCTTGGTATTTACACAGTGTAATCAGTTGACCAGTAGGACTTTCAAGGGGAGTAAGCTAATCATCCTTTGAGCCCTCCCGCTGCCTTGAGATTTGTATGTTTCGGAAAGATTGTTACTTAAAGCAACAGTCCAAGCAGGGTTTCAACCATTCGATCCTAAGGGGTGGAAACATGCACTAGCCCTACTCGAGTACATAGGAAATGTCACTAATTTGATAACTTACCGTTGGAAGGCGTTTGAAGAGGGTCTAACGCCGTCGAAGTGGACAGATCCACCGAGCCTCGGTACGGCCGCCCAATTCTGTCGTAAAGAGCGCGTAATTGTCAGCGGAGAGATTTTTGGTCGTTTTGGGACCACCGGGACTATTTGGAATCGATCCTCCAAAGCGATCGATGTGGTGATTCGACTACGCTGGATTTCTACGTTTTTTCCTTCTACCTTCAAAACACAAAACGATTTCATGATTGCATCCCAACAGCAATTGCTGGCACGTAGCCTGCTACTGCCGGCTATTTGCCAACAATTGTAGTTTGGGCGCATTTACTGCCAGCATGTTCAGACAACTCGTCCAACAAGCGTCTTCCTCCATTGCTAAGCGGCAGAGGGGGAGTCCCTGTCTAAGCCCCTGTTCGACGTCTTTTTCTACTTTTTCTTCAATTGCTGGTCAACTTTTCACCTACAACTTCATTATCGGTAGTGTTTGCCCGCGAATTCGTTCTTGGATTGTTGCTTTAACACGTTACTTTGTATCAGTGGATCGGTGGTTCAATAGTATTTGCTTTCGTGGATCAGCACTTTGCAGGTCATGGTTTTTACTCTCCAAGACGAGTTTGTCATCAATTATTCGATCTCGGTAGAATGGAAGATTTTGTTGGCCTAGTGGGAGCGATCCTAACTGAAGCGGGCAGGTGGTCAGTGGCGCCACATGCTCCTTACCACCCTTTCTCCTAAATTAGGTATAGTAAACGACAACGTTTTTGCTATTCAAGTCTAGGGTGTTTTCAAAATTCTCGCTGCAGCCAACATTATCATAGAATGCAACAATTTTTCTGAAAAGCTTCGCATAATTGGCATTTTTTGGCCAAGTTTTTTACCAAGTTGCCTTTTAGGGATTCATTAGGTTAGGAAGAGGTTCTATGATCGAAGCGTAAGCCTTGATTCACATTTAACCGAAACCTTACCAGCAAGCCAGACGGGCAGATTATGCCGTATTGCTCTTCTTAAGCTTTTTTTTTCAATGAAGAATTGCAAAAACGAACCGAACTTGGCACGACGGTGACCACTGATGTGCCTTCCGTATGAACGAGAGGAGTTTTCTCACCAACACGACCACCAGCCTTGGCACTTTCGACTGAGAATCGCTTCGAACTCCTACGATCCCCACGTTCTTCTACGGAAGCGTTTTGTATACGCATCAGAGCACTTCGTCCTGCAAATCAAGAAAGTAGAGTGCTGGCATTCCGCGCTCTTAACCTCCGATTCTTTGATTCAGCACTTTGTTCTCTGAACGCGTTATTCCTATTATATTTAGTGATAATTCCAAAACTGTAGTTTTCTTTTGTAACAGCACTTTTTTCTAGTGTTCCTCATAATAAAGAGTGAGCCCTTACGCTGATCAATTCTTTTGGGGTTCGCCACAAGTTCACAGTATCGCAGCGGATTGGAATGCTCTGTTCTCATACAGCAAATCGCGGAGGTGGTCAAACGGGAACTGGTTTTTTTCTCTTCAGATGAATCTTGCACTCTTTAACCCATCCTGGGGGGTGCAAAGCCTTTCCAGGGCTTTAGAAACCGTGATTTTTCGAGACTTCACGGATCACTTCGTCAGTTCCCCATTCATTGAATACCAACACCACTAGAGCCCGCCTCAGCAGTCCCTCATACAATCAAGAGCACATCCAGATCATACCGGCAACGGCTTCACTCAAAAAAAAATCCGGAAATCCATCTTAACCAACTTTTCTTTATTCGGTTGCTTGCCAGCATCTTATACGCTTCAGTGCCCCCAAAAATCAATTGGGTACTGGTTTGTGTTTCGAAGAATAGATGTGTATGGGTTCATTAGCAACTTCGACTTCGCAAGTTGCATCTGCGCCGTTGTCACCCTATGATCGAAATGATAACACACGCTACAAATTTTGAGGCTGTGAAGCCGGGCTGATTGTAAGGTTTGGAGGAAAAGCATGCGCTACCGTTGGATCGGTTTATATGACAGGTTTTATATGAAGTCCTTTTATAAAACTAGAATGATGGCTTTACTTTGCTTACTTTCCCCATAGTCATCATAAACTACTTGGTCAAGGTGAAACTAGGCGTTGCCGGGCCAAAAATATGCCCTCTCCTGTGACAATGTGATGCGCCACAAGTATAAATATAGCCCGTTTACACAACATGTAAAAGGGCAGCAGACCTCTGAATTTACACACGCTCGGCTCGCTTGACAAACATGCCTACCGTAATAAAGAGGATTGTGGAAAACATAAACTTTGTGGAATCGATGCTTGATCTGGGGGAATGGACTTTGCTTCGACAAATGAGAGTTCCTTACCAAACAACCCTCCGTTTTCTTGTTAACGCCACTTGAGTGATGCTTTGGACAAGAGAGCTTGAAGCAGAATTATTTTATGACATCTTATGCAGGGAGAAGGAGAATAACGAGTGGATCAACTTGCATAATCTCTTCACAGCTTGTTCAATTTAGTTCCAAAAATGTTTGTATGAACCCTCGAAAGGTTGGACAAAGCTATAAAGGATAAAGCTTCTGCCGTTGATCAATCCTGCCTTAGGATGCGGCACGTATTCTACTTTCATTTGTACATTCGTAGTAGCGTTTGAATGCGATGTGGCCTACACAATGACTTGCGGGGGAAAGCCGATGGACAAGCCAGTGTTTCGTATCCTCCCAGACAAGTATGGTACGAACGACCCGGGGTTCGATCACCGGGCCGCGCGCGTGGTAAGCGTGCCAGTTGCCACTACACCATTTCTGCCCACAAAGGTTGGTTACTAGCCCAAAAATTTGCATGACTAGCAATCAAAGCTTTCACTTTGCACGGTCGTTAAACACTCAGCAGCTTCAGCAAATGATTGAGCGAACATTGTACACCTGTTACTATTCTTTAGAGTCATCGGTAATAACTATCCACAAATGCCGGGTCACATACCAGGGATAGAGGCAGCCTATGTTCAGTCCATTTGTTTACTCGGTTCATCGAAACCCAGTTTGCGGAGAAGAATAAAAAATTTAGGTAATCAAAATCCAAACAAGATACGCAACCAAATGGTACTAGTAATGTGATTAAATCTTGAGTGTGTGGTGAACTTTGAAAGGACTTATTAATCAGAGCGATTCCATATCAGAACCTTGATATTACCTATCGGAAGATGGAGCTGAAACTTTAAGAATTCGACCCATATAATTACGACAAGACGAGTTTGAGTCAAAAACCTTTCAAGGTCGAGATTTCCTGATGAAGGAAGCAAAAAAAAACGACCTAAGGGTAGATCTGTCACTCTGAGGCGTTGTGCAAATCTCCCCTCGAGTGAAGAAGTGGTACCCCTAATCGCAGTGGTGGTGTTACTGTCGCCACTTGGAAGTACGCAGCAAGGAAATCAATATCTTAGCTTGAATGCTGCGAGCGCTGCCATACTTACCAATCGCGACATCACGACATAACTCTATCGCATTTTCCCTCTCCTCGCAGCGCTGTTCTCTCCGTCTATCACGGTTGACTTCACAGGAAAACTTTACTCTCTCCTATGACCCTTTTTTGTTTTCCACTTACAAGCTTCTAGTCTAATAACCAAACAAAATGACGCACCAAAAATCGCGACCGATACCTTCAGCGCTTGTAAATCCATCCTTTTTGCTATTCTACTGAACTGCGCGTCACCGATGCTTGTTTCTGACATGTTTCCCTTTATATTCTCTCCAGCATAGCTACACATATCCTACAAATAGGGCATCGTATCTCAAATAGATTCCGCGGAGCACTAATTTGGGAGTGGCTTTGTCAGGTGTACTAGCTCTCTTCTAAATGTTTAGCCGCTGTATAGACGTCGTGTTTTGCTGCAATTGCAAGGTGATGTCACCAGTAGCGTCGGCTGTTGATGTCTAACCTTTAAAAAACCATTGCATGCAGGGGTGAAAGAATAGACAGGACTTCTGCAGTTTGCAAAACAGCCTTTGCGTTTCAGGGTGATGAAATTGGGTCACAGAGAAGACATGTCCACGTACTACAGAAGTAGCTGTCGCCCCCACTGAGGAAATGAAATATGGAGTATTAACATTGTCAGCTTCAAGGAGCCTCCGAGTAAATCCGTCGACTGTTGATAAATGAAAAAAATGTTACTAAATTTTTGAGTTCATTGTTTTGGCACCAACCTGAGTAATTTCATTACGACGATAAAATCAACGCTTTTTATTGATTCAGCAAAAAAAAAACCATTAATCTTGAAGTTGAGTCTGTGTTTCGAAAAGAGACAACCTATCTCCGAATCGGGGGCAAAGAATCCTGGAATGCTGGGTTGCTAGATTAGCCTGGTTCTGAATTTCTGACTGTGACCAAAAAACAACGGAGCCACTATGGCGCGAAATGTTATGGCAGGTGCAAGTATGTGTAAGTTGGGCCATGAAAGTGGAACTTGTTTTTAACCACTTCTGAAATGAGTGACAATCTAAATTAGATTATTCTTAGTACAAAGCATTTGGGCAGTAGATACGGTGAGTACGTGAGTGAGGCCGTTTGGGAAATCCTAGGACAGTGAAGCGGGCCTCTTGGTGGATCCTTCCCATTTAACATGCACGGCACAAATGGGACTCCTATTATTTTTCCTATCCACGACAATGATCTGCGTCGAACTTAATCGGCAATGATTCTCGTGTGCCTACACATCGGATGTAGGCCGATTTCGGGGTGGAGCCACCTGCGTTTCGGAAGGGGCGTAACGAAAATTACTTCGTGCGAGATTGTAACTCTTCAAGTGGCCTGAAATCAAAACGATACCGACCTCGATTCGTTCGTATTCGCTGCCGTGCACTTATGAAGATCTTCACATAGACGACAACCATCACAAGGAGAGGTAGAAAAAATGAGCCCGATGCTGAGAAAACGACAAATGCCCTAAAACTTTTGATAATTATTCGTTTTTTTTTGGTGATTTTCATGTGTCTTTTGTGTAGAAAAGTGCCATATGTTCAAAGAGCATCTTCCTTATCTCCTGTGGAGCTACCTAGGGTTCTTCACCTATGTGGTTATAATTTTTCAAGTGGTTTATCCATTTCATTATCGCTGGCCTATTTCCTGATGGCTACTCCTATGCCGGTTTGTCTTCGTCGTTTTGTGCCGTACTTCACTGATAGGTACTTTCGGTGAAGCGGAGGATACATAGAACGCAACGTATGGGGTATTTAGTGGTTTTCTTATTTCTTCCGCTCTCTGGGAATGGAAATGGCGTCATGAAAGCCTGCAACGAGGAGGCCAAAAATAAAAAGTTATTATTACGAAATAATTTTTTTTTCGTTCTGTAACATTGGCTAAAGGTGGGGTGGCGGAAGCAAGATGTAACGTGCAGGCAAGAGGCCAGGCAGGGTTATCATGCTGAATACTAATCGAGAGAAAATCGGTGTTCTTTGAAGGCCTTATGCGACCCTTCCCATGGAATGGTTCCCAAGTCAAAAGCTTAATGAAATTTCTTATTTGCTTCATACTCTATCATTGTTTTTTTTTTCAGGGAAGTCATCTCTAGTAAATCGCACTTCTCTACGATGCACTCCCATACAGGCATACATGGTGAAAATGTAGTTTGGGGGGGGGGGCACTCATAATATCTAATCGAACTGGCAATATCTAATCGAAATGGAGCTGCGGCAGGACGGTCATATCTAATCACCATCCGGAGCACAGTCTCTGAGTGTATGATTAGATAGGGATACCAATCCGTGCCATACAAAATAGGATACCTGGAAGGCCCTTCCATCGAGGGTTTGTATGGCAGTCGCAAGAAGGTTAGATGAAAGGAAGGAGCCAGCAGGGTAGCAGCCATTTTAGCCCTAGACCAATAAGACAGGAGTAAGCGTACTAGTCCAGTGGCCACGGTTTTAGAGAAGATATGATAAGATATAAGTGCCTTCCCGCAACTCTACTTTGATTAGATATGAGTGTCTTTCCGCAGCTTCACTTCGATTAAATAGAGTGCCCCCCCCCGAACTACATTTTCACCTGCATACATGTCATAGGCCACGATAGAGAAGCATTTAAGTTTAGAATGCGGTGCACTATATTTTTAATATGTACATAGCGAGTAGCGAAATCAATTTGATGCAAGTGCACAGCTTGTTCGCTGATGGAGGGGTTTGTCTTCATTCCGCGCTAACGAAGGTGGAAAAAGTGTTTCCTGCTCATTCAATGGGACCACTAGTAGCCAAGCTGCTGAATAGGAAAAATCGGCTAAAGCGATCAGAGATAGTCTAGTTGGGAAGAGAAATTTCGACTTCTATCCAATCATGTGCATGTGTTTTTCATTCAGCTCCTGTTAAAGTTTCGCCACATCGAAAACGGATGTTGTCGAAGAACAATGCACGACTGCTATAAAGAAGTTATCACGCGTGAATGAACTTTCCCTTTTGTTTCGTTGGCTTCCAAAGAAAGGGAGGATTGGTTAGGTAGGCACATGTGACACAGCTGGAGGTGGCCGTTCAATGTTTTAGCTAAGGAACCAGCTTTTTTTGACCAGGAATATCTCGAGACTTCCTTCGCTTGCAAAGAATGTGGAAATGAAATCAGTGTTTTCCACACGGGTTCGGGCAAACTGGTAGTTCCTTGAAAAATGCGATTCCAGAACAAATCACCCAGCATCATTTACAGATCCCAAAATAGATTGAACTACAGTACCAAGTTTTTGAACTGCTTAAAGGACCCAATATTGTGAATACTATGCGCCTACAAAGGTGGGCACAGACCGCTTTGCACGTGCTACAACAATAAAGGGTTTGAAATGGCCATGCACGAAACCAGCAACATTTCAGTGGAGTGTGCAAAAGGTGGAATTGGTACCACAACCACGAGATTTTCTGAATTTTCCTCGAAGGTTACTGCCATGGGTTTGGTTTTTTATTGGTTGAGGCCGACGGAAGACTGGAGTGATTTTTTTTTGAGGGTGAGCACAGAACTATTTTTTAATAGCGTACGGAATCTAAAGAGAAGCGAGCGTCACATAGACAGCAGTTTTTTCTGCAGATAAAAAGGACTGCAGTAGCAATTGCAAGCTCATGGCTTCACAGCAACGGCAAAAGTGTCCGTTCACTCACATATGCAATAAAAACTACCCTGTGGTGTTGCAGGCGCTTCAAGTGTCATGGGAATGCACTAAAATATAAGCAGTAGAAGTATGCAGATAGCTTTCAAATTCACTTCGAGTTCGGGCTTCTGCTGAATTTAGCATAGATAATCTATTCTTATTCCTATAGGTAAAGTGCAAATGTTTAGTCGGGCTACGAAAATTTTGTACATGCTGCTCAAAAAGCTCAAGATTTTATAGGTCTCATATAATAGAAGTTATAATAAGGTTTAGACAGTAATCGACGCAGAAATCAATAACACATAACGAATCAATCAATATTGATCTCCCAGACAGGCAAGGGCAAAAACGGAGACTTATTAATTGGCCCGTCATTCGATGTATAATACATGCCAGTTGCATTAAAAGCTACTGCGACTCTAAATGAAAGTAAAACGCATGGCGCACTCGTTCATCAATTAGGGTTTGGAGCATGGTAATAAGTTCCCCCTTTTTTAGCGCACACTACCCCTTACGCTCGAGATTAGGCGCGCTCGCCTGTTTCATCTCAAGGGTAGTAGACAGGCGGACAAACGTTGATGCCACTCATAAGTGGCGCGACAAAGGCGCAAGGAGCTCGTCCGACCCGCAACCCACACCTCGTCCGCAAGACCCTTACTCCGCTGTCGGTGCCACATAGCGCTGCTTGAAAAGCGCGGGCGCATTCGAAGCAGAGGTCCCATTGCGACCCAATGTCATTGGCCCCTGGCCAAACCAGAGTTAGGTCCGTGAAACTCGTCCAACGCGCCCCTTCTCTATCTCAAGCTGAATGCGACCGAAATAGGGGAGGTCTCTGTGCGGGGCGTAATCGTGGTTTCGCTTGCTTTCCTTCTCTTTTCTAGACCACTTCACACCTCTGACTTCATAACCGCGCGCTTTTCCTTACCTATTTTATCCCGAATCTTGCCTTTAATCTATTATCATACTGAACAGAAGGGCTTTGCGTAGGGCGCACATGAGCAAATTTCTCGTCACATATGATGTCTTTGTTAATGGCAGCCTCAGTGCTCAATATTGCATAAATGTCCCTCCATAAGCAGAAGTAAAACCTTGTTCACTGCCCTCGCTACCTTCATAGTTTGAAGTTATCCGCTATCGTCTTCGAGTCCAGGAAGGCATTAAATTGAAAAGTTGCGCCATGTTCCCGTGACAGGTTATTCTGATGTCGAGCGCGTAGAAGTCTTTTTCCCCTCCACTTCCTCCCTGTATCTTTGATGCTCCTTCGAGTGTTCGTGTTTTTTTGCCATCAATTGGTTACAGGTCAACAGTAGGCTTGATTCAATTTCAGTCCCACAGCATCCAAAGATGTTCTATCGTTTCCACCATTCTAAATCGAGGTCGGTTATAGGGGGCTTGGCATAAAGTAAGTCCCGTAAACTTTACTCTTCATCGTTTGACTGTGAGCAAATGCTATAAGCATCGCATTGACGCATGCGACCATGTACAAAGGGGAAGCTCTCCCTTTCATAGCATTTCCTGCTAATCCTTCCTTTTGTGAAACAAAATGTCAACATGGGCAGACTCCCAGCCGCGTTTCCTTTCTTCAGATATCTTATGTGACATAAGGAAGCTATTTTCGAATGAGGTGTTCCGTGCAAGACACAGCAATTAGTGGTTCATGCTGGCCGGACGCCACAACGAATTGCTTTTCGCCCTCCGAAGAAGAAAACTGAATGATAAAATGAGAACGCGTGCACTCTCTCATCACCACAACATTTCTCCCCCACTGATCCTTTGACTGTTCTCACTTTCAATCGTGTGAAGCACGCCTAATGAACACGCCGTACTTTTTAGGCCCTATTCCCTTCTTTCAGCCGGCAACTGCAAATCATATGTATATGTGAAGAATAGGAAAGGGGAAGACTTTAACGGCTAATCAGAGCTTTCAGGGAAGACTATGCATCTTCTTATACTTAAGGAACTCTTAGAGGATAAACACATAGAAAAATCAGTTCTTTCACCGTCAAGGAAAAAGTCAATCGGATCAGTCCCAAAGTTAGAGGCCGAGACAGCTAAGACCTGGACCTATTTAATTCCATAGCCCTCATCGGCTCCACTTTCTTCTCTAGTGGACTTCTGCTATGGAGCAGCTGCAGTTGTGTACGGTGTCTTTAGAAACGCTGTGAATTATATAGAGTAACGGTCAAAAGTGTTCGCCGAAACGGCTTTCCGTGTTTCTTATTTTTGCCAGAAAAAAATCAATGGTGGCCTTAAAATAAAAGGGTTTTCTTCTGAACATCCTGATTTTTGAGGCTTGAAGACACAAAAATACTAGGAAACATAGTAGATCAATCATTGAAGAGCGTTGCTCAAGCGAGAAAAATTAATGCACAAAAATCGTTTCGGGGAACCCTTTTGACCGATACTGAGGAAAGATCATCGGCAAAGCCGGCGGATTGGTCGACTGATTTAGAATGCCATCTATTCAAGGCTTTTTGAAGAAATTGTTACAGACAAATGGCCCAGAATTTTAACTCTCTCTAATCATAAAACAACTCTTATTTTCACCTTTCTGATGAGAGTTCGCAGTGATCTCGAAGCTTCTGTGATGACCAGTCATTCCATCCGATCAATGGAGGCACTGATATTATTACAGATAGCACCCAGACCTGAAATAATTGCGTCTCGAAACGTACCAAAAAGTCGACCAGTGCATTCTAGCTCTGTCCACTTTTTTTACTATGATTTGTTCTGCATGTTGGGGGTTTTACCCAGATGCCGTTGGCCGAAAACTGGAACCGTGTGGAGGCCAATATTTCCACTTCTTGAAGTGCTGGCTGTTCATATAAGAAAAACACAAGAAAAGCGTTTATAGTTAAGGTCGAGAGCTTGTCTCTATTTTGCGGTTCCGACGAATTTCTGATGAGGAGTGTCCATTCGAGTACATCAATCTATTGTTCGTGTTAATGCAAAGTGTGTCCTTCGTCTCATCCATTTCGCAACACCGCCCTCGCTACCGCCAGATTGCCTAATTCGGCTGTTTCTTGCTAGTTTCTAGGCTTACCAGGAATTTCTCGCAACTTAAGGGGTGCTTTCTAGGGGGGCCTTCTGAGCTTACAGTCACTAAGTACGTACGAGGGAGCAAGGAAAGTTAGTTTTCCAGGAATAGCACTAGAAGAGAGGAAGTACTTCGTAAGAATTATGGCTTCAGCACTTCTTACACTGCACATTATTGATAGAGTATGCAATTTGTAGGATAAGGTTTTTGCATACCTCTGAACCATGAGCTGGATTAAGGGCGCTCAACCCCTTCCTGTCCTGTCTCTCACACTGGTATAAAAACGCTGATGTTACGCTATCAACTTATTTGAGGTGTACTTGCTGGTAAGGACCGGTGAAGTTTGGGAGTATAGTACTTAAAGAGCTCTCTCATTTCTGCCGTTGTGCGAAAGAAAACGCCCATGGATGGCACTTTGCCTAAGTCAAAAGGGTAAGGGTGGTGTAGCACGGCCCATGTGCAATAAATACCATAGGATCTGAACAGGGTGTGTAGTAGTGCAGCATGTGTACCAGAATTAGAACACTTAACTGACACTTATCGACAAGTTCATTCTCAAATGAGTCGATCGCGTGCTATCTATGCTGTTGTCCTTAGCATCAGGGACGCTTCTACTACTACTCTTAGTGATGTGGGTGCAGAGCTTGCCACCCCCGCCCCTCTTACCCTCGCCCAACTACAATCCAGTGGCGAGGTGTAGGTGCAGACTAGGTTTTCTTAGATTGGGAAGTAAATTGGTGTAGGATAGACCATACAGTTATTACACTTTTTCAGGGCGATCGTGGCGTCATGACAGGTGAGATGCCAGTTATCATGCATGCGATTCAGGATCGGATCCCGGCCAGGCTAACTATTCTTCGCACACCTCGGATCTAGGCTTCCAAGTGGAGGACTCTGTATGGGAATAAAAATCGCAGACGAACATGTATGTCGGCCCAAGTCATGGAATGGCCATTCCGTGTCGCGGCCCTTTCTATTTTCTTTCAACAAACCAGTTGATTTATATATTTATTTGATCAGTCGGGTGAAATAAGGGTACAGACAGATCGGCGCTCGCTTGTCAGCGGGATCGGCCCTCGTGGACGGCGCTCCAGCTGTCAGTAAAACCTTAACTGCCGGTCCGAGTGAGGGAAAAGCCACTCCCACTGACAGGCGGTGACCAAAACAAGAAGTACGTTGCGGGTGCAAGTGCATACCGCAACATTCCGATCAGTTGGCATTACGATCCTGAAGTTGTATGGGGTACTAAGCGCGGTTACAAGGCTTCTGTCAACCAGGGGGTGAGAGTGTAGAAGGAAAAGCAGACGTTTTTTGTGGTAGTGGGACTAAGCCTTCTAAAGGAGGTAAAGAAAGCGGAGGTTCTGTAATAGTGCCTTTGTGTGAGAGCTCCCAGACAGCACAGCAAAACGCTGAATTGCCTAGCCTCGCACCTCAGGAAGAGCTTGATCAGCGTTATACGCTTGATTGCTTTTACCCTTCACTAATACAATATTAATAGATTTGTTTCGACTTTTCTCCGTATTTTGCTGAACGGTGAGGAAAATTATCCATATTTGTTAATCCCTCAAATTTGTCCGTAACGAAAGGTGCAAAACTCGTTTCTAAGAAGCCTTGCGTGAGTGTCCAGGTTATCTCGCGACGATCCCATACAGCTGCAGAAGGGAATGAGAGTGTGTGCTGAGACTACGTAACGAGCGGAAACGACTCCCTGTGTCGGCGTCGACAAAATGCCCCTTCGTACGCTGTTACATGGAAACCCGTAGACTAAGCATAATTAGCCTAGTTGTCTTTTCGCGGCCATGCAAAATTGGCCTGTTATGATCATTATTCAGGAATTCGAAGCGCGCCGCGCTCGGAAGCATCAGACGATTCGCAGTACACATCACGTAGTGTATAGTGTGTTGAATCATCCACCTCATTTTTCAGGCTGCCATGACTAAGCTAACAAATTGGGAAGCTTCTTGCAAATAATGAGCAAATGAACAAGGGCACTCTGTGGCTCTTGCACTAATATAACGCATGTAGCAATACCGTAATCTCCTACCGTAATAATCACACAACACACAAAGCGTAACGTGCGTTTCTGTGCGTAGTTTATTGGGTCATGTATTGCACAGTATCTGAAACAGAAATATTTAGAGGGCGATTTTCAAACAAGGAGACCCTTGCTCAAAATTTCGATTGAAACTCGGACCTATCGATAGCAATAGCGCACAGGTTCAGTATTGATGATGTACACAGTAGTATGTCGGCGGTGGTAAAAAGCTGACAAATCGGAATTCCAAGTAGCCATCGGCCATCTGAAAACAAGTTGACGATGACAGAGCAAGATCATCTTGTAGCGTGTTTTCTGTTCACACCCAACATTTGGCAAGAGAGCTAGCGCTTCTTTCTCTTCAATGACCAGTTGTCATGAACAGAGAACAGCTTTCCTTGCATCAGTAATTTCTCCAGCACTTTCATCCCTTTCTCACTGCTACAACTCGCCCAGTACTTGAGCTCAATTTCAGCGATAACATCGCTTTCTTATTTGCTTGTCACGCCTTGTGAGCGTGTTGCTGAATATTTGAATAAGTAAAGAAATGCAGGAATGAATAATTTTGGCGCAGTATATGCAGCAGACGATGGAACCACCCCTTTTAGATAATCTACGCCCACGCAAACGCCCAGCCATAACGAGCAAAGTTACATCGGCAACTAGCAGTGCTCTCAAGAAAAAACCAAGGCAGGATTGAATAACTTTGGCAGGCAGTTGGACTACAATTTCAGTTATTCTACACCTACGCAAACGCCCAAGCACAAAAAACGAAGTACTGCTCGTTGACCTAAGTGGCGTTTAGGCGCCGTTGAAGTGTATCCTAAGATGAGGTGCACTATTACTGGGTAGATCCCAAGAAACTCTGTCGCGCCGTCTAGAGGGGGTGCTTCCGATTGAAAGCAATGAAATTTTTCTTCGAAATTGTAAGAAAAAAGCTGCAATGATCGCGACTGAGGCCTCGAAAGCTTTCATGGGTTTCATCACGACTTCAGCTCTCCTACTGCAACCTACAGAGGCGGCATGTTGATGCACCCTGCCAATTCAGCCGCGAATTAGCCGCGAGTTTCATGTTATTTCTCCGATTTCACACTAACCACACGACGATAATTCGTCGTGTTCTCAGCACAGCTCAGCCGGCTGCCCTCTTCTTGCATCACTAATGACGACGAATCCCCTGCGACTTCACACTAGAAGGTAGACAAAGCATAAAAGAAGACTTTTTTCTTTTCGTGAACACTCGTACTCAACACAAAGAGCTGTGCCAAGAACTTACGCCTGGCTTGCTTTTTCATGTCCTTAGTTATTTTTAGCCCACTTTAATGAGTTGTGTTACATTTTCAATCCATCGTACGTCAACTTTGCTGGTGGACAATGTCCGTAGCTGTCAATCGAAATGACATGACAAACCAGACGTACGCCGTCTGACAAGGGCAACGTTCTCATTGGGAGTCGCAGAGTGTGAATGTGTTGAGATTTCCCTTGCAACTCGCGGCGGATTTGTTGTGGCGAGGGGGTTTTGCGTTGAAGATCAATGCTTAGCCATGTATTCCTCTATGCAAGCTAATTGCTGCAATCGTTGATGATTACGGAACTCGCCAGATCGTCGACTCTTCGGATGACAATCAGAAACAACACCCCCTAACAATGAACGCTATGAACCAAAGCTCGGTTCCCCGTTACTGAATACGAGTTTGAAGCTGACGTCAGCAGCAGCCACTGATGCAAGGAGTACGCCAACATGGAGATATTAATCACGACGGCTAGGTTTGGTGAACCTCGAGAGCCAACAGCTTGGTCCTTTTTCGCACAATCCCCTTGCACTAGAACGATTGCAAGCGAATGCAGGGGTGCGACTAACTGAAAGATCTAAACGACTCCGAAAACCACTTTTCAATGAAGGAGTGTCATGTCCAACAGTTCCTGAAGAGAATTCTTGCCTCACTCTTGTATGATCTCTCCTCCTTTAGCGACAGGGGGAGCAACCACGGCTTCAACGCTCGCGAGCTGCCTACCTTACGTCGCATTCTATTGTCAGGCACACATGTCCTTAGGGGACATTCAAACAGGGCATTCAGAAAACGCTGGTAGGTGACACTAGGACTAATTTCAGGATCGGGAATAAACACTAGATAAAGCAATGGTTGCTCACATCCTCACTCAGATTTCTTCCCGATCCCTAAGGCTCAGGCCAAGTTCTATGAGTGGCCCACTCACTTCATGGTCTTCCTTAAGGACATGAGCGCCGCTTTGGTTATAAAAGTTGGAAGCGTAAGAGCTCATAGAATATTCTTATAGTGCTTACCGGCAAGGAATTTCACCACGTGAAGCGGCATGACGAATATGGCCACGGCCAGATCTGATGCAGCTAATGAGACGAGAAAATAGTTCTGGACCTTTTTCAGAGGCCTATAGCTGAACACTGCAACTACGACCAAGGTGTTGCCCACAACGGTCATCGTTATGATTACCTGAAAAAAGAAATGTTTTTTTATTCTGTGTAAGTACATTTATACTGTAATAGAATCCTGTTTGAATGAGTGAATACTGGACATATATATATGGATATTATATCCTTTAAAAATGTATTTAGTAACACTTACTCATTCCGGGAAATTAGTAGAAGGAGACAAAAGAGGAAGCGGGGGAAGCGGGGGAGTGGGGGGTAAGGAACGTACGATTCAGTTCTTGCAATAGTAATCAGTGTAGGAGTCTTCTGATGCTGAAGCATTCACTTACTCAAGAAGGCTAAGCCCGATAAGTCTGGTGGTGTTAGACTGGCATTTGTTCAGAAATATCTGCGTTCGGTAAAGCAGGATTACTGGTTTTCTCGTGGTTTGTCAACCCATTAAGGATATTTCCAAATTGGTTGCCATTCAAAACAACAACACTGGATTTCTAATTGAACCCTTAACGTTAGAGTGCAAACGTTTTGGTGATACTAACAAGGGAGGTCGTTCAGAGTATGCCGAGCTTTTCCAAAATGGTCTATTGCATGACATTGAGGCACATATGGGGACCACAGAAGCGTGGTTTATTTTTCCTGAACGGCCCTTCGAACACCAGAAAAGGGGTCCCTAGTTCGATTCCTCGTGGTGACAAATTTTTGCCTTTCGAGTTGACGTTTCGAATTCGCTCGAAATGGAGTCAGCATGAATAATTGGTTCCATATTCATGATTAGGACCGTCAGTAACCCTTACAAATAGACTTTGAAAATTTTGAAAAATTGAAAATTGAAGAACTGCTTAAAAAGGAATGACTAGGGACCCCCTCTTCTGGTATTCGGAGGGCCGTCCAGGAAAACGTAACTATGGCTTTGTGGTAACCGCATGTGCCCCTATATTATGCAAAAGACCGGTTCGAAAAAGCTTGGCATACCCTGAACGGCCTTCCATGCAAGACGGCAATTTACGATGAAGGAGAAGACAGGGAAGTAGTAGCTATTTCACACTTATTTCTACATATTGATCACAAAAAGAAGTTGAAAAAGTAGCAAGTAGCAGTAGTAGGTAGTGATATTCGTGTGAGAATGCTTATGAGTATGGTTGATTCGATCAAAAAGGAACCCTATTAGGCCCCAAAAAGATTCAAAAGAAATGGAAAAGGAGCAAAGCAAATGGCAGAAGGGGCCCACTTTCTGACATAATTCTTCTTCTACAGTGAGTTGTGCAAATTCTCAGTTTAGGACAAAAACGTTCTCCGGCGTTCCAGACAGGTTCCCAGTAGATTGTTTATGTTCAGGGATGCAAACGATTGCCTGGAACATCTCCCCTGGAGTAATACCATGTCCGGCGATGAAGCTTTTGGACATTTCTCTCTCCTTCGGACGATTTCGATCGAACGAAGGGGGAATAGCATAAAATAAGGAAATAAGCAAATCTACGCTGAATTTTTCAACTATAATATAACTTAGAAGTTGAACCATTCCTAGTTTCAGTTTCAGTTTCAAGTCATCTTCCCAGGTAATCCCGAAATTGGACCTTCGCCTGCTTTCGCGACGGAAACATGGAGGAACATTTTTTTTACTACCTATCAATTCAAATACGACTGGCAATTGCTATCGCTACATAATTGACTTCGTTTGATGAAAATTCCAGCGCCTGCTTATTCATAGCAGTTTGAGAAAAGGCCAAGAGCAAGCAAGAATGCTGGATGTTTGATCGGGTTTGCAATGGATACAATTAGAAGTTACAAAAGGCATGGAGTCAAGGAAAAAATCGTGAGGAGGGGGTCACAATCTTTTCGCTTGATGCACCGAAGTTGAGGAGGAAAATCTCAAAGGCACAGTGAACTAAACTTACTAGATAGGTAATTGTGCCAAGTACTAGTTCGACGGTCGGAATGATCGTCGTATTCTGCGTCATGGATGGCGCCTCCGTACTGAACGTCTCCGATATATTGATAACACTCTCTCGTATGGAGTGTATCGTTCCAATTACCATATCCTAAAACAATCAAGGTATTGCTGTTTTTAGACCATGGTACGAGCCAGAGTAAGGAAGCGGAGTAACTCAGTAGCTGGAAATTTTGTACGAATTTGTGTTCACGAGCCACCTGAATGAGCGCACATTACTAGCTCCGGAAAGGCACGTGTAGCACTGTCAGAAATGAATCTGACGTCAAGATAATCCTGAAGGATCTCGAGGAAAGCCCGCAGTAAGCAAAATTACATTCAAGTTCTTTTCGTGAGAAAGAGGAACTTAATCACATTTTAGTAAAGTCGCACATCGAAGGGCTGTAGACCTTTTAATTGCATTATTTTTGAAGCGATTCCAATAAAGCCACTTCATTCACAAGAAACTTCCTCAAAATAAAATTGAGCAAACTAGGGTTGCACCCATCCAGTCATAATAGTGCACCAGACAGAAGAAGATGTTCGAAGACATGAATGAAACCTAATTTGCCCCAGAGTTTCTCCGCTAATCACAGATGTGTTGGGTTGCAACCCACGTTTGAAGTTTTACTCTCAATTGAATTTCGTTCACAGATGTTTCGGTTACTCCACGTCACCGAGGCGACCACAAACTCGTCTTTATGTGGCTTGTTCTGTGAAAACGCCCCATTTCTTGGGATTCCACAGAGCGAAGTGAGCGAGCTGTTAATGTCAGCTGGCCGTTGGTTGATTCGCCACAAGACTTCAAATGTGGGAAAAAATTACGCGGCGCTTCTTTCATGAATGCATGAGTGTGTATGGTCTCTCATGGAGTGGAGGAGCGGCCGCGAATGAATCAAACATCGGGATTAGAATGGCCGAGCAGATTCAAGACAATGAACGAGACAGTGTACTCGGAAGGTGACGCAAGCGCACGGACGAGGAACTTTGAATGGATTCCCCTGCCATATAAGCGCTGAACGTTGAGAGTCAAGGCGCAGGTGAGTACCTGAATTTACCAGGAATGAGGTTAATATTGGCTTCAGCCAAACTAATTAGAACTGGCAGGATCTCAAGTGTTCACTCCTGGGCAGCTCGTAAGGAGTAATTGTCAGTTCCAGCCAAATGAGCAACTTCTGGACAGCTTAGAGTATAACGCTGATTTCAAAACACAAAAGCATATTCAGAGCTTCGAATAGGAGGAATTAAGTTTCGTATGAATTCCAAATTCTCAAAAAATTGCGAGGTGCCATCTTTCGATGAGAACGTCGGCATCGATGAAGAATATGTTGCTAATCACTACACAAGATATGTAGTTTCGATTGGGCTCGTGAAAGTAATGACACGTACAGAAAGTCTGGTAGAGATAACGAAAGCTGTGGGCAGATCGGAGCTTGGAACGCCGTGACGAACAAAGGGGATCAGGTTGCAAACTTACGCAAGGCGTACAACCCGCTTGGTTGTGATAGTTCAGGGCACCTGACGTGTCTTATGAACGGATTCCGTGGAATATCAACGCTTTGGGAGGTCGGACATCAAATGAAAGATAGGTGAAGAAAATGATGTGGTGTAGATATTTAAGGAAGGTAGCGTTAATCAGAAAACAAGTGGAAAGAGCACATCGTGGGAGCAGGAGCACTCGGTGTCAGAAACTGCTACTACTACTACCTACTGTGCTCATATGCTTCACTAAAAGATTGAACAAGGCTGAGCCATCGGCACCGTGTCGTAGCTGGCTGGCATTTACAGCTACCGAACCCGGAACTGTTTCATGTTCTTTTTTAAGTTGGTCATTCATTGAACAATACGTCAAGAAGTAAGAAATTCAACAATAAAGGACTCTGGGCACATATTCGTAAAGGAGGTCACGTGCACACGAGCTGATTAACTACAATGCACCGTTTGAAAGATGCAGAACGTGAAGAAAAGCAGAAGTTCAAATGATGTGGAAATGTCATACCTGGGTAATATTGAGTTCCATGTTACTAGTTAGATTGGCTTAGAAACCGTTATAATCGCCTTGCGAGAATCTCTCCCTGTTAGGGGAGGAGTGTCGAGGGTGAGCGTCAGTTCTTCCTAATGGCCCGACGTGTAACGGCGGACCCGCCCACGAGCATTCGGCTCTTCGTTGTTTCTCTCAAAACTCAATCTGATGGTGAATATCTGGGAGAGCTGCTATCCCTCAACTTGATTCAGACGAGATCTCTGGTTGGGCCATTTTAAACACCCTGAATCTGGATTTACGGCTAATTGGTTACGATAGACTGCGTGGCACCCATCTGGGGGACGCTTGGAGCACGGTCAAGGTCGTTGGCCAAAGTTTTGGACGGACGACCCTTAGTCGAGTCATTCGTATAGAGATTTTAAAAGTATACCCACAGCCCAAATAGGACCGAAAATCACGTAAAAGTAGCGGAAGTGGGATAAATTATTCAGCTATGAAACATTAAAGGCTCATAAAGAGGTAGTTAATGGGCAGCGTAGGTGAATGCTGTTTGAGACTGAGGAGGCCAAACCGAATCGTCGACGTCGTTTTGGCTCGGCTGTAAGAGGCTGTTCGCATGAGTTCATCATAAAGAGTATGCATTAGGAGCTGTGATGGAGGACGGGCCACATCACAAGGTACTGACTCCTCGTTTTTTCTTGCGGCTCTGGGGCACACAAATCATAAAGTGACAGAGCACACAACAAATACGACATGAAACGTGAAACTCAAATGGAGTGGAACTTTCTTCGATGAGAGAACCTAATTAGTGATGTGAAGAAGGTCTCCGTCATCTACTGGTTAATCCCAACTTAGCTCTGAACCAAGCAAGTTACCAAAATATCACAGTCGGAGAGGAAAGCTTTCCAGTTCAGTCTCTGTAGACCTGCCACTTTTCTAATAATCTTAAGGTAATAGCTGACGCCCCAGCTGATTAGTTACTTGATGCAATACAAAATTATTAGATTGATTCAGTATCAAATTTAAAATAATAATCAAGTAATACCAGCAGTCATTCGGTTTTGTTTTGTGTAATTTTCGAAAATAACATAGAATTAGCTTTGCGGTATCACGTGGAGCACACGGTAATAGAGATTCCACGATTTTAGGGATCAACGGGAACTCCATTTTGATGCTGCCGTGCTTCCAATGAACTAAGCCATAAGGTCTTTAATTTCTGATTTCTCTGTGCCTAGGAAAGTTTGCGAATTGTAGGCAGTGGGACTTGCATTCGTTCCATACAGACAATTAAGGTACGACAGAGAATTTAGCTGCAAAAATACCTTCACTGGTGTCATAATGGAGCATCAAATCCATTCTCAAAGGAAGGCGTGAGTTCCCTGTTGACTGCTCAGTAAAAAATCGTTATCTTGCAAAAAATATTTAGGTCAAATCGGCATACTATGTAAAGGATAAAAAGGGGTTAAGCATTTGGCGGATTGAAGGAGATTTGGCCTATCCAATAACTTGCGAGCGTCAGCCTAGTTACAGATCAGTGATTTTTATTCTCTCAGACAAGCCGTACCAAATATGACCTCGAAGGAATGGAACGTTCGGAAGGCTTTAACGGCATATGATCACGGCTTGATCCCCGGACCTGGCCCGTAATAAGCAGCGCCAATTCTCATTACACCATTTCCGGTCTAATATAACACACAAACAGGGTGAGGGTGCCAAAAAAGTCACTTTGCCCACGGCGCACAAGCAAAGTGCCGCTGCTGATATAATATTCCTTAGATAAAATATTAAATATTTTAACATATTCCTTAGATGCCCCCCCCCCATGATCAAAAGCAGGCTCTCCTTCACTGACCTCACCTTCTTAGAATATCACGTCATCTGCCATTACAGTCAAGTCAAGAAGGCCTACCGTTATCGATCCACTATGAAGCTTCTGCGTAAATTCACTGAGCGATTAACTAGTGGACAGCTTCCTAGAGACAATAGCTCAGATTAAGCGATATCGGTTTTGACTGGCGTTTCAGACAACATCGGAATAGCCCATGATTTGTCAACGACCCCATTGAGCTCGTACCGGACACGTTGTTCCCGTGAGAATATCTTCTGATGCCGACGGTGAAAAGTAATACGGAGCTTTTTCATAGATAGAAAGGTGCTCTTCAATATGCAGTTGGGCTCATTCGGTTTAAGTTCCAAACTGTAGTTGTAAATATTCAGCTTTAAATGGGGAGGGGAGGGGGAGAATGACCCCACTCCTATACAGTATACAAGGGGCCAATAAAAAAAGTCATTCTGTTTCCACATTCAGATGTCAATTTAATCACACTCTGCTCAATTCAAATCGAATGGTCCAAATTCAGAGTTGAAGAGCACATTTCTTCACATAAGCAAATTTCATAGTGGCAATCTACATGGACGGCATCAAAAAATTTGCCCCGGAAACATGGTACACTGGTCGAGCTCAATGTGGTCTTCCAAGGTTCGTGTGCCATAACGACCTTTACTGAAAAGCGAGTTTCGAGCTAGTGAGAGCTAATTTCTCCAGGAAACTATCGAACATTGAATCTGTTATCGAAATTATGTAAGAGCTTCAGGGTGAAGCAGTTACGGGAACCCTCCTTGAGCTTGACGACGATAACAGGTGACGTCATATTCTGATGGTGTGGGCCGTGAAGGAGGGCCTGCGTCTACTTATAGATGGACATTTGGGTAATTTTTGATGAAAAATTTCCGTCAACGACGGCAATTTCTGCGAGTGAAAAGGGCCGAAGTGCGACATGGGCAAAGTGTTATTCTCTCCCCCTGTACATGAAGCACAGCACACTTATAGACAGATAGATGGTAGTAGTGCTACTTAGTTTTTACCATTCTTTTTCTTCAAAATAACCTTTTTCGCCGATAGTAAAAATACCAAAATGCAGCTTTTTCTGAAGGTAATCATGAATTAAACATTTGGTAAAAGTTCCACTACTATGGACTTGCAAGTGTTGTTCCATGTCTAGACCAGAAAAAACAAAACATAATGGAGAGTGTTCGCCTACACACAAACGTCATTGCAGCTTCCACCTGTGGCACAGCATTAATTTCCAAGCTCGGCCAACTCTCTGAATTACTTCATCATTTCACCTTAATCCTTACAAGAAATATTCAAATTCGAATGTATAATGGTTTTCGAAATAAAGGCGGAAATAGCAATAGTAGGCCTTGAGAAACATTACGCACGAATTACAGCGAAAGGAATTTTCCACAACGATTCACGGAAATCCTTATAATGTGTGATATAACCCATAGGCCACTTGGAATAAGGCAATGTATTATTACCCTTTGTCCGTATATTATTTATTTCAAATTCCTTACAATCCATGTCCCCATTTGCTCTTTTGCATTCTCCTCCCTATTCATATACCAGCCTTTAGCGTAAAAATGTACTTCTTTGGAAGGCCCAGCGAGATACTCAGATAGCACAGTCGAGCCCTTACTTAAAGAACGAATTCACGATGAAAAAGCAACCCATTTCAAACTAACCTAGTGGTACACGAAATAAGGAAGAACCATGAGAAACGGCCCAGAACCCGAGAAATGGGAACCCTTCCTTGCCCGCTGATTCGAGCGTTGATGCGACTCTCATCGCTGTGCCCTCTTCAGCACTACGCTCTTTCAGCTATCTAATCACTCGCCACGTATTGAACTACGGCGAGTGATCAGATGATCGGAGGACGGAGATCGCCGGACCTGCCAGCTTTGAGGCATGATAGGTCGCCGAGGTCAAATTTTTCCATGCGAATTGCGCGTTAGTTCGCACCCTCAGGAAGTCCGTGGGTCCCTCAGCTAGGTCAGTTTCCCTTTCTTCGACCTTCATTCTAATCGTGAATTACTCCTTCAAAGGAATCTTCCGCGGAAAAGGTCCGCCTCCATTACCACAGAAAAACGATACCCCTTAGGCCCCTAGCCTCATGAGCATAGCAAATAGAACAGAACATAGGCTTTAGTTTCGATAATGCTAATCCTACACACAAAACAAAATGATCACTCTTTCCGTTTAAGATTCCTTCAAGGTATCGTTTTCTGTGGTGATGAGGGCGGAACTTTTTCCGTGGAAGATTCCTTTGAACATAGGGAGCATTTATTATTTCGAAAATTCTATTTTCGTCAAAACACTTATTGACCTTTTTCTGCAAGTCATGCTCCTAACATTCTTTACTGTAACTTTTGTGTAGCAGCAACTGCGGTAAGTTGGGTTAGAAGCAGGGCCAACCGTAGTAGTACGCTCGGACCATTTCAACGGGGTCGCGATTGTGTGTTCTGATAGATGCCACGAAAGAGATATGGAACAGGCAAACTGATACATTTGAATTTCATTGGCCGTATTTACCCCTCTCACCCCCCCCCTCCCCCACTTCCCCCCGCTCCGCTCAACTTTAATTTCTGAGAAAGTAAGGGCGGACTTGAGGCAGTGTGTCGATTGACTCAGCATTGCATATCCTATGGTTGGGATTGAAGCAATATTGGGTATGAAGGGTACGGAAAAGTGGAAATTCGGATTCGAAGCGGGTAAAGGCACACTCCGGGTTGAGCGCCTTCGCCTGTTCCATTCTGTGGGTAGTAGGCAGGCGAACAAGTGTTGATGTCGCCCCCCCCCCCTTTTGCGCCTTGGTGCGCGACGAAGGCGCAAGGAGCTCGTCCGATCCACAACTCACACCTTCTCCCGCAAGCTCCACCCTGCGCTGTCGGTTGCCACGTGGCGCTGCTTGAAAAGGGCGGAAGCATTTGAGGGAGCAGTTCCATTGCGACCCCAATGCCATTGGCACTGGAGCAACTAGAGTTAGGCTCCTGAAATTCGTCCAACGCGCCCCTTCTCTATCTTAAGGTGAAATGCGGCCGAGATAGGGAAGGTCTCTGTGCGGGGCGTAATCGTGGTTCCGCTTGCTTTTCTTGTCTTTTCCAGACCACCTCCCATGCCGTAACTCCTCAGAAACCGTAAGAACCGCTCTTGATTCCGCCAAATTTCGACATCCTTCTCTAGACTATGGGACAAAATTGAAATAATCTTTCGGAAACTCTGCTTGCCAAAAAAGTGCTTAATGCACTCCGTTTTACCAAGAAAATGTCGTCATTATAGCAGGGAATGTGTGAAAGCCATATGTAAAGTGCAGATATTGGTCGCGCTACGTAGGACGAGCTCCAGTGAGTTACGTTTTTGAATATGGGTTTTCTTTCCATACCAGAAGATCCCAAGCTCAGAGAGGTGGCTAAGACCCTCCTTCAGATTGTAGGATAGTGGGAGGGGTTAATATTTACTTGAAATTTGTCCGATTCAATCCTAGTGGAAGATTTCTGTGGGAGCTCAGCAATACAATGAAAACCAATGGTCCTGAAATCGTTTGTAGCGCTTTGCAAACAGCTCTAAAAACTGAGCGTCATGCATTAGTGTCTCCGAAGAACAGGAATCATTTAGTGGCTGGAGGCCGAAGATATGCTTTCCAAAGTGAATTACTTATCTACTGACCCAGTCACATTCCATAAATGCATTTTCCCCTTTGTGAAAAATGTGTTTGTTGAGTTTTTTGATTTGGAAGAGAAAAGAGAACAGAAGCTATGAGCAAGCTAAAGACGAAATCGGTTAGGGTGGTAGAGGGTGCTAGGGCCTGGAAAGGGAGACGCAAATCCTCTCATTGCTTCCAGCAATTCTCGGTCTCCCCCTTCTTATGATTCAGGTGGAAGGTTTCAAATTGTCTGTGCAGAGCAATTATAAAATTCTCAGGAAAATCGACAATGAAAAAGCGAGGAAATCTTTTACACGTTGCCATGGCAAAATTATTCAACAAAACCACCCCTTTCCGAAATTTTAGCACAAGCTTTATGACACTGAGGTATCTTTGTGTTCCAAGACCAGCTCGTAAAAATGGGCTGGGTCTGGCCTAACACAAGAGCTGTGAAGCCTTTGGCAGAAACGATATTGCGATTTTGCAATATCCCTTCTTACTCGGATATCTAGTTATGATGTTTTTAGTGTTGCACTTCTCAAAATATGATCATTCGTAACTAATAAGGGCTAGTTTACAGAGAAGGCGAGCCTAAACGAGCGCATGTAAATGAAACTCGAAGAAAATTCTAGAGGATTGCCCATAAGAGGTGCAGTTTTCAAGCCAGGAAATTCTGCAAGGGAGCAGGAATATTGTAGCAGCCATTAAGACCAATTAGCGTTAGTCTCAATGGTATTGCTACAATCACCACACAAATAAATCTTGACTGAAGCATGACTTTTACCTTATTACTCAACTTTTACTTCAACTATTGAGGCGGAGGAAAAAACATTGCTTATACCTTCTATTTGAAACGTCAGATGTTTTTAAAATCGCACGTTGTTCCCTCAGCTATAACAGCTGACACAGTGCAAAACTGATATCAGAAGTTATTGCGAAGACGAAGTTCATTCAATTATTATGAAACGATTCCTCAGTTGGAAATGTACACAGATGGTGACCGACAAGTGGCGCACTACCTCACCCATGGGCCAGAAATTTTTTTGAATGCATTATTGACCTGGGCGGAAGTGTGTAGTGGCCACGCTGACCACGCGAGCGGTTCGGGGATCAAATCCTTGGTCGTGGGTCGCCCAAGTCAACCAAGCCTTCCATCCCTCCGGGATCGGTTAATTGGTACCAGACTTGTCTGGGAGGATAAAAATTACTGACTTGTACATCGGCTAGCCCCTGCAAGTCATTGTATAGGCCAAATCGCATTCAAACACCACTGCGAATGTACAAAGGGAAGTAGAATGGGTTCCGCATCCCAAAAGGGATTGATCAACGGAAAACGCTTTTATCCTTTTATTCTTGACCTAGCCAACCAACCATCCAATATCCTGGGTCAGCTAATTTTTAGTACAGTCCTTCGAAAAGAACAAATCGCTAGTAGTCCAAACCCTATTCGAATACCAGTACATTCATGCTTGCAGAATGCGTGGAACATAAAACGGGACTGATCATACCGAGAACTTCAGCTTTTTCATATTTGACGCCGAACCAACCAACAGAGGAATATGGTTGAAAAGGAGTACTTACTTACCCTTACAAAACGCTGAGCTTTGGATGTGTTCATCAACCGAACGTACGGAAGGTTACCACAGTTTCACGTTTTTGGGGAAAAGCTCAAGTGCTAGCTAAAAACTGTGCGAGTATGGGTAGAATTACGCCTAAAGTGATGGAAAGCTTAAAGGCGTGCCCCAGGGTCACATTGGTGTGGCTCCTGCCCATGAATACGAATGCATTAGTGCGAAATGGGCCGGCATTGAAGAAAAAAGGAAGAGAATCCTTCAGAAACGCTTAGGTTTGGGGCTCAGTTACCTTCTTAATCGGCTGTGCTAAGGAAATTAGAGACTAAGCGCTGAGAGGAGAGTATGAGGCGGGAGAGCACTACAGATGTGAGAGTGCCAGCCAACAGCCTGATAAGAGAAAAGAATTCTGCAGCTTGAGCAGCTTGATTTGCAAGGCCCAAGAACTCTTGTCGGTTGGTTTTCGTGCAGGGGAACGCCACACTTGGGATTGTCCTCTAGCGGTCTCTACTACAGACTAAAGAGAAGCGTTCACACGAACTCGGCCTGAGTTGTGCCTTTAACCGCTCCTGATTCACAAACGAATCGAAAAATCCTGAATCTATGACCCAGTCAGAGCGGGTAAATACTTTCAATCAAAAAACATTACCATTTACATTTTTATGTCCAGATAAGGGTCAGCAGTAAGAAGTGTTTCCGTACAATCAGTGTAAACCGTGTATGCATCACAGGGTGAGACCATGTCCATGGTAGGCAAACTTGTTTTTCATCGAATCTTTTTTCATCATCTTTCCTAATTGGCTCGATCAAGGACTCTGTGAGAATCATTCCCCTGACCTTGACATTGACTTATCCTCTGAAGTCACTGCAAAGTGAAAAACACGTTCAAAAGCTCAGATTCGGGGTGGATGGTAAACGAGACGCGCCTCCAAAAACGACGTGTGAAGCGATTCCGTTGTATTGATCTAGCATCTGTTGATTAGAACCTTTGCAGATGACTGTAAGAAACTGAGGATTCCTGGTTGCAACGAAACTTGCCGTTCAGTTGTGGCCCATAACTTTTACGATGAAATTATTGGAACAAGTTTTTGGAAAAAGCTTTTGACAGGTAATATCTAATCGATAGATGAATTAGAAGGAGTGCGAAGAAGGTGTGAGGAAACGCAATAAAGTAAGTAAGTGTTTAGTATGAGAAGTGAACGCATGAGGTATTGATTATAGATGAAAAAGCTGCAGCACAATTTCAATTCGCACTTCGTTAGATGCTCCTCATTCAAAGGATTAACGTACGCCACTCGCTTATGAGGGCAACCGACATACGCTTATGTTTCTTATGAAAAGTACGAGACTGATGACGAATTCTATTTAACCCCAGCGCGTGTTGAATCCCTGCCCAAATGGTCGACATGAGGGGTTGCACGCTAGATAATGGATGACCGCTTTCTTCTGCCCTCATAAATTGTACTTGGGTATGCAGCACGAGACAGGTGCGTGGGAACTGAGGGTCTCTTCCATGAAGGGTTCGGCCTGTGAAAAAGTTTCTCGTGAATCAACAAACTTATATCAATATTAAAAAGTAAACTGGCCCCACCGCTGGTCACTGACAAACACTCCAACTAAAAACCCCAAAGGCAAGGAAAAACGCCAAAATGTACAGACGTTCTCCAAAAAAGGTTGGTTTCTGATATTTACGCTATCACACATGAAATGCCGCTGTTAATAATGGAAATGAACGCAAAAGGGTCAAACAAAGAAACTGATCGGCTAGTCACGCCATGCATTTGACTTCCATTCTAGCAGTAATTGGATGGTTATTTGGTGTGTATAGGATTTAGGATGAAGCAGCGATTTCTCCACACATCACAAGATGCTGAGTTAAGAAAACAAACAACGGAAAACAAGTCAAGTTTGTAATGCATATTTGCTCGAATTTCCTCCTCTCGCTTAGCTGCGATGTCGGCTAATCGGCTCATCATTTTAACGTGTTAACGCTGAAAAGCTATGATAAATATACCATTAGAAAGAAGCCGTTGAAGGTGAAGCAAAATGAGTAAGAGGTAGCAAGATTGCAGTCCGCTGGTGCAAAAGGCAGTACATTTGCAGATGAATGCAAATATGCGGGTTCGAATCCCGCTTGGGCAAAAAGTTCTGCCCGTGACCTAGATTCCTTTTGATAAGTTCCAGATGACGGACGAAAGTCGAAAAGAAGCAGATAACAATCCAATAGGGCTTTGTCCGAGTTTTTGCCTCCATCTATGAATTTCTGTGAAGTTCTGTTAGGGATCATTACTGTATCATTCATATCGATACCTCAATAGTTTTCTTCCTAATGTCTAGGTCGAGTGATCTAAGTTCACCTCGTCGTTCCGAAGTGCTCATGAAGAAGCTCATGGGCAAAGGAGGATCATTTAAGGAGGGGAAGGGGAAGTTGTGGCCGGTGGTTTCTACGTGCTAGCATAAATTGAAAACCTTTGCAAATGATGACGTCTGGGATAGTTCGTGCAACGGACGTTTTCCAGCATGCTGTAAACCTCTACTATTCGAGGGGAGACTACTAAAATGAACAATAGGTACCAGTGTGCGCTTAATGAGAATTGAAGTAATCTCCTAGAAAAGTCCCACAATCCTGACACTCAAAAAAGGTCTCGACGAGGGCGTTTCTGCGTGGAAAAGTGCGAAAGTGCTATTAGTGTTATGAGAGCATTTCAATGGGTTCTATTGTAGTGCGCTTCCACCCACTGGGGGCGTTTTCAATCGAGTAGGGCTTTGAGTGGTCAAAAAAGGGGAATTTGAGATGTAAAGGTAGGGACTACTTCCTACCATGTCTAATAAATAGATAAATAAATATAATTGATGAGAAACATTGGATACTTCGTGAGCGGAATGATTTGTTTTCACTCGTTGATCTCAAGTTGTAGCAGGAAATTTTTTATCATCAAGCTTCAACATGAGCTGAGACATGTAAACGAATCCTGCATGCCATAACTATTAGCATGTGATACTTATATGAGACGACACATTTGAGGAGCTCATTCTGATGAATTCGTGGAACGCAATGTTGGGCAGTGTCGCCCAAGAGAGGGCAATGATGGGAACTTTCTCGGATAGCAGAATTCGGTCACCTGACCGTCACGCCGTTTTGAAACTAAAATCTGACCCTAAATTCACGGTAAGAAATTTGATGATGAGCGATTACCATATCTTCCCGCTTACTAGCACGTCCAACCTCTATTCAGTATCAGTCCAACCGCTTAGCTATATACCCGAATTCAAAACCAATCTGGACCTTAAAAAAGTTATGATAAGTATCAGCCTAGCTTTGCAGTAGCGTTCAGTGGAACTGAGAGGGTACTGCACATTAGGTCGTACCCGTTACGTATCCACTGGCAAGCTGTCATCGTGGACTGTTTGTCATGATGCTACATAGGTTATCCAGCTTCACTATAGTCTAACGTGTTATGAGCGCAATACAATTGGAACTTGACCGCTTTCTGGCTAGACTGGGACTAGGATGCCTGGCGCTCCTCAGAGCATAGCAATTTATTGCGGTCACATTGAAAATGCGAAAAGGTTCAGTCTGCAAGGCGGGTAAGTACACCAGCTGAGACGATTGACCACGGACACCACTACTGTGCTAACAATTGTAAATGGAAGCTCACAATCTGCCACTGTAATGGAATCGTTTCTGAAGGTTTTATGGAGTTTTATGGAGCGCTAGCAAACTCGAAACTCGTCCTTTGTAAATAAGGCGTAGGCGGGTTACTGCAGTAGTGGTTCTGTCGACAAAAACAGTTTCAACAGTTTCAAAAGCCACTGTTCCTCAGAATGCACTAATTCAATTGATGAATTAAATTCAAAAGAGGTAACATAGCTTGTAAACTAGAGGATTGGCTCTATTCAATGGTCATTGGAATAATTTGATCCATTCTTACTCCAACTATAGCCCGCTGAAGACTTCTGGAGAAACAACTAGGATAATTCTTGAGAAGCGCAAGTATTTTCATCCAAAAGCCTTAACTTCATTCATATCCATAAGATCAAGAAAAATGTAGCTGTTTAAAGTAGAAGACGTGATGCTAGACAGCCATTGAGCCGTCGTGATAATTCCAGCATGCCGAAAGTAGCCCTTTGATTTTCGCCCGTGTACCGCAGAAAGGTTCTCCTTGGTTGCATTGCCACTCTCCAGTAACAATAGCTTTTAAATGGACAATTTTTCACTGATAAAAAATAAATACACGTTTATTAACTTTCTATTATCTTATTTGTTAGAAAAATATACTGTAAAGTTCCATCTCAAACAAGTCAACCCTGCGTGTGCGCAGTTTTCAAGGCCACGTGCGCAGTTTCGCCCGATTAGACACGTTCTCTCGCCGCGAACATTCACTCGCATGCTCGAGCTGTCTGCGCCTCCGCCCATACAGCGTGCGTGCTATGAGGATCTCTCAACGTGCCTTAGCGAACTGCGCAACGCAGGGTTGACTCTGATCTCAAATGGTCATATGTTTGCGAACATTTACGTCGCATTTCTTTGCGTGTGGATTCCTCATGTCATGCAAAAGAGTCAATTCTGAGAACCTCTTGATGCCTTAAAAACTCACATATCCATTGTAGGGAGCGGGAATTACAGCGCACGGCACTGGCCGACTTCGCTCTGGAACACGCCGTGCATTCGACATCATCCGGCGGCTCACACCCACTCCGCAACAAGCTACCGCTGTTCTGATTGTTGTTGATCCCAGGATATGCGAATCCTCCCCCCCTTCCCCCTTCCTCATCCATATCGACAATTCCCAAACTCACGCCTGGCTCTGGTCCTGCTTCGACGACGGTGACTGGTTAAAATGGGGTCTCGAATATTACTATATTGCTCTTCAATAAACACTACGTTTTGGGTAACACCCGAGGTAAGGTCTCCTGAGTCATTTGTCATATTCGGAGCTTTTCTAAGTAGCAGTAGCTCAACCCCCTCCCCTCCGAGGAACAGCAAACCATTTTTCAAGCACTCAATCATACTATGTAGGTGGGTTGAAAATTTATAAGTTATATAATTGTCTGTAATGCACAAATTTCTCACAGGTAAGATTGAAAGTCGCCTTCAGTGTATTGTTTTCGATTCTTTCCAGACATCGTTTTGACAGCAGAACGTTGGGTTTCTTGTGACTGTAACGTCGCTTCGTGCCCCAAAGTACCAGCGTTCCATTTTGTTTTTTACAAAGGTACTGCAGCATTTTGTAGGCTTCCACAACATTTAACAATTGTCTCTAATCAACCTTACTACATCCACGCAAGCGAGCAAGCGAGAACGGGTCATGAAGCAAATGTGAAGCGGTAGGTGTTGGATGACGTTCCAGTGAAGGAAAGTTAAAGAAACTACAGACAGTGTTCTAAAGAGGGCCGGGTAGTGGGGAATTTCGGGAGACAAACTGCCCAAGTGACAATGGGTAAAACAAAAGAGACAGGCGGTGCTGAGGGAGCATAGCGAAAAGCGAAATGCAGGGGCACTGATCCATTGGGCGTGCGTTGGTCCAAGTCGTAGTTCGATAGTGCTTTTTTACGCGTTTTGAGTCTCAAGCGTAGCTCTGCGACTGCAACGCAGAAACCTGGATCACGGGAGGGATAACCTGATAGCCCAATCGCGGAAAATGCATAATCGTCTGTGTATCACGTCCCGCCATGCTCTCAGCAGAAGCTTTTAACGTGTTCAGAATCCCATTTGGCTTCCGAAGAGGCTTGAAGTCACATCAGAGAAAACTTCTGGGCTCGATAAGTCTAGTCGATAAGTCTTTCTTTCTCTTAAGGTAACCAAGACGTGGGAGCAATGGCGCGTCAGGATGATGAGCCGATTGCCGACATTATGCACTAGGGAGAATTGGGCTAATAAATTTTGGCTGCTCAAATCATCAATAATCCACGAACATACAAATTCTTCTCTGGCAACACACTAAGAGTTGCAAACTCAGTAGGTTGAACTTTTTCAGCTTTTACTGAAAGAAATTCTTATCAAACTTCAAAGACGATGATTGATCTGTGGAGTATCAGAGGCATTCATCGCCTTAGGAATCCGCATTCCGCTCCTAATAAGTAGAGCTTTCATCATAAGTACTCCGAAATCTGTGATCTTGTAATCTGGCTATGTGTACGATGACACATTTATGATCCGATCTTGCTTATGGCTACCAAGCGAGCTCAACATGACCTACTAATTTTCTAGCGGTGATGAGCACTAGCAGGAGGCGCCATTACCATCCGCACAGGCCGAGGATCAAGTCTCGGATCTATTCCTGCTTGAGCTGACCGGGCCTCTCATCCTACAGGGGAATAATTAAATGTTGTTAGACCATTCAGGAAGATAAAAACAGAGAGAAATCATTTGTTTACTTGCTACTTTCAATTATAGTGAACAAGTCACTCCAGGCGCTAAGAGTTTTAGCGAATTTGTGAAATTTATTTCAGACAACTGAGATGGAGTGCAAAGATCACACACCTACAACATGCAAGTGGAAGCAACCAGTGAAGCCAACTTCACCATTCAGGAGGGGAGAGGGTAAATGGAGTGCACATTGCAAGGCTCGATCACAGGGTGGGACATTCCATGAAGATGTATCGATGAGCAAGATCAAGCCCTTGCCCCTTCTCCTCCTCACAGTTCTTCTCAAAAGATGAAAAATTCGATCACCGCTTACGGATTGGAAACATCAAAATGTCGGTTTTCGAATGCAGCTTTGTGTGGTGCAGGAAACTCCCACAAGAAATGGTCACCCTCGATACTAAAGCTTTTAAGGGTTTTTCCATATAGCTTCTATTATCTTTGAGTTCACTGTATGATATTACCGTAAGAAGCTCTACTTCCCACGAATGCACATCCCAAAGTGAGGACATACATATACATCTACATCAAAAACAAATGTGTTCTCTGAAAATGGAGCACACCAATTCTAGGACAGTGCCCTATAGGGCATCTTCAGATTGCTGAAGATTCAACATTCGTGCGACAAGCTGCCCGTGTTAGTGAGAAATTTTCGGTGGCCATGCGATGTGACATGCACTCCATCCAGACATCTTTCCGTCAAAGCTATTGCAATTACGTTGACTAGTAGCCTTATGATCTAAAAAAGTCTAAAATCTAATTTAATAAAGAGTAA